GGGGACGGGAAGGCAGCCCTGAGGCTGCTCCCGGCCCCGCTGCCTCCCGAGGGGGGTCTCCTGCCCCCAGCCCAGCCCTTCAGGGGGGTCCTGGCAGCCCCCGCAACGCCCCCGTTCCCACCACACACGGGGAGCGAGAAGAGCGGCAGGAGAACCCAGAGGAGCCTTTGCCCGGGCCCTCCACTCCCAGCCCGGGCGCACAACGCTCTCTCCGGAGGCCCAGGCGAGCCCCGAAGAGGAAGGCCGCTAGCCCTGAGCACCCCTCCCAGCCCCGCAAGAAGCGATGACGCTGGGAGGGCGCCTCAGGGGCTGGACACACCATGGCTGGGCTGGCAGCTGGGGCTCACGTGAGCCCCCAGGAGATCCCATCCCTCTCAATCAAACTCTTCTTAGGAAAGAAATCAAGGCGCGCAAAGTGCAGGAAAAGTCTCGGTGTCACTAACAATGCAGGTGGCGTTGCCATCCCCGCCCGTGCTGCTTTCTCCCCCAAATTTTCCTCCTGCTACAGCCACCGTTTCCTCGTGTGTCCACTGGGCCCTACCACCTCCTCTGCCCAGAAGCCTTGTCAACTTGTATTGGGTTTGTGTGGCAAGGTTTTGGCAGCAGGGGGTGGAGCATAGGGGTGGCTTCTGTGAGCAGCTGCCAGAAGTTTCCCCCATGTCCCACACAGCCAATGCCAGCCGGCTCCCAGACAGACCCGCCGCTGGCCAAGGCCGAGCCCACCAGTGACGCCTCTGTGAGAACATCATTAAGAAAAAAAAGAGGGAAGAGAGGAAAAAAAGCTGCACACTTTGCAGCCAGGAGAGGAGTGAGAAGATGTGAGAGAAACAACTGCAGACACCAAGGTCAAGGAAGAAGGAGGGGGAGGAGGTGCTCCAGGCACCAGAGCAGAGATTCCCCTGCAGCCTGTGGTGAAGACCAGGGTGAGGCAGGCTGTCCCCCTGCAGCCCATGGAGGTCCATGGTGGAGCAGATGTCCACCTGTAGCGAACTCATTACAGAGCCTGTGCTCTGCTACTAGCAGCGATTGTGCCGCCATGCCGGGCTGCAGGAGTCAAGGGACAGGCTGCACCTACTGTGGGTCATGTTCCTCTGCAGTGCAGAGGAACGGGAGCAAGAGATGGGAGGAGGCTCAGGTCCATGGAGGAGCAGAGGCACAAGCCTCCTTGCTTGGCTTCCCCTGGCAAAAGGTGGCGATGCCTTGCACCAGACGTTTCCTCAGGGGTGCTGCATTTTCCACAGAGCTCTTGTCCTCTGCAAACATCCCCACCTGCTGAGATACGGGGCTGTTAGAAGTGCTTCAGTGAGGTGTGCATGGAGCCCTGGTGTGGATGCTCTTTGCAGCACACAGGGAGCCAGCACTCTGGGTCGGGGCAGAGCAAGGCTTTCCTAATGCGTGTCAGCCTGTAGATTGCAATGCCATCAGGCCGCTTGGTCTTCTCATCTCTGCTGTCTTTCCAAATGTGCGAGTGGGATGAAATCCGCAGTTTCCTTCTCTTTGCTTTTGAAAACCAATGTCTGCAGCCATAAACGATATGCTGGTGGGCTTTTTGTGACCTGGCAGTGAAAAAGCCGTACAGTTCAGAGCCAGCAAGGAGACCAGCAGGTTCTCAGTTGTGGTCTAGGTTTCATAAACCATTCTAAGAACAGAAAAGATGAAAGATGACAGAAAAATTTCCTCAGCTTTACTATTAATATTAAAGGAGGGTGGGATATTAATTGTGATGGTTTCTACTTGCTCTCATGAGGATCTCCTTGGCATCATTGGTATGACTTGCTAACATGCACTCAGTTCTTGCCTATTTGACTTTGACCTCTTACTCCACGTTACCTCTGAATATACTGCATGTTTCTTCTGCAGACACCAGGTACTATTCCCACGTTCTGCTGCCCCTGCAGGTACCTTTTGCCCAGCTCCAGGCCTGTATCTCTGCTGCTCTATCTAGCTTTGGGGTTGAGGATACTGAAAAATTCATAGAATCATAGAATGGTTTGGATTGGAAGGGACCTGTAAAGTTCAGTAGTCCAACCCCCTTGTAGTTAGCATGGACATCTTCAACTAGATCAGGTTGCTCAGACCTACATCCAACCTGACCTTGTAAATTTCCAGGTCTGGGGCTTCTGCCACCTCTCTGGGCAACCTGTTCCACTGTTTCACTGCCCTCCTTCTCCATCCTTCTCCACAGGGCTGCTCTCAATTCCTTCATCCCCTACCCTGTATTGATTCTGGGGTTGCCACAACCCAGGTTCAGGACCTTTCACTTGGCCTTGTTGAACCTTATGGACTTCACAAAGGCCCACTTCTCGAGTTCATGAAGGTCCCTCTGGATGGCGTCTCATCCCTGAGGCATTGCACAGGCATCACTCAGCTTGGTGTCACCAGTAAACTTGCTGAGGGTGCACTTGATGCCACTGTCTTTGTCACTGATGAAGATATTAGACTGTACTGTTCCCAGTAGATACCCCTGAGGGACACCATTCGTCACCAGTCTCCATTGGACATTGAGCCATTGACCACTTCTCTCTGGATGAGACCATCCAACTAATTTCTCATCTATTTGCACGTACAGATATTTCATACCCACAACGTGAAATGTATCAATTCTTGATGCCATTTAGAGTGTGCCGTCTAACTGTGCCATATGTATCAGTTTGAAGGAGGCAAAAAAATCAAACGTGTCATTGACTCCATATGGAAATAGTTCTATTCAGAAAAGGGCTGATCTAAACTGCCAGGGAACACTGCGCAGAGGTTCAATTCTAACTGATAACCCTTGAGTTAAGATGTTTATAACAAGATCTCAACAAAAGATTATTTATATACTGAAAAATTATCCAGGCAGTTTAGCTTTCAGCATTTAAGTAAACACTACAAAGAACTGAAGTGTTTCAGAATCTATATTGTCCTGGTTTTTAGCTGAAATAGAGCTGGGTTTCTTTTTCAGTAGCTAGAATTGTGCTGTGTTTTGTGTTCAGCCTGGGACTCGCTGTGAGAGAGACATTGATAACGTACCAATGTTTACATTTTTGTCACTGGAAGTGAAGGACTTTGTGTTCTGTTAGTTCATAAGCACAAGATTTAAGGGGGGTGAAGAATATTTAAATTAATAAACTTAATTGACAGTTAGATATGCCAGTGGGATGTTCCATATCATATCATGTCACATCCAGTATATTAGAGAGGGTCTCTTCCTCTTTTAGTTCTCTCTGACTTTTCACTTGGGCTCTCGTTGTTCTGGGATTGTGGTTTCGGTTCGGGATTGTCGCTCCTCCACGGAGGAGCATTCACTATCACATATACCCAGTAAAGCTCTTAGTCCATCTGTGACCAACAGGTGAGCTAGCCAATCTTTTCGGAACAGGACTAATATAAACCCAATATAACCAATTTCCTGCCCCTCACCAAGAATTTTAAAAGTTGAAAATTCAGTGGCTGTTAAATTAATTGTTCAGAAAATTCATTCTTGCTGTAGGTAAAACTTCCCCTGCAATAAAGCTTTTAAGTTTTCCAAGTTACTGCAAGCCATTACGTTTCAATCACTGGATCCTTGATATGTTGCATATTATAAAAACGCTCATTCTTCAAGAGCATAATTCATGCTGAGGACTGCTAATAGGCAGCTGCAGCAAATTGCTAAGCACTTGCTTTTGCAGTGTTGTATCATGTTTGCAGGTCAGTGTAACAGGCTGCTCAGAACAAAAATCCCACAGTACACAAAGATAGGACTACGCAGAGCAAAGGCTTTAATTCCCACCCATAGTCAGAACACCTGCCATATCACTGTCCAACTGTCCCTCACAGCCTTGCTGACCTGCTAAGATGCTTTGAGGGAGTATTTGCACTCTTGAGAGTAACAAAAAAAATGTTTATGATTGCTTCGTCTGACATTTAGGTATTTCCTAGTTTATCACCAAGAAACACCTTCCAGATGCTCTCCTGAGCCCTGAGAATATGTGGATGTGTAGCATGTGCAAAGTGTATTTTAAGAGCTTCCGCCACCATTTACTTTCAGACTCTCAGGACCAGTTCAAAGTAAAGTGAGCACAGTACACTTGTTACACACTAAGAGAACAGCACTCAAATATCCAAAAGCATTAACTGCACTTCATTTAAAACATGTAAGAAACCAGTCAGGTGTACTCCAATTTCAAACCTAGCTGAAAATTTCTTCAGTGATTTGCGCAAGCTGATGTTAACTGCCTGTCCTTCAGTACTGACAAAGCAGTATGCTGCTTCTGAAGTTCATGATGAATCACAGCAATAGCCTGAGAAGCTTTAGGCATCAGAAGTTTTTGGCTTTTTAGTATTTTCTCTTCAAAGCACCTGAAAAGCCTCTAAACCTTTGCAGTGACTACAGCAATTCCCCAAACTTTCATAAGTTTCTTATGATCACTTTTTTAAAGCCAAGTTTGAAAGCCAGCTGAGCAGCCCAGTGACACACCATGAGAGCATACAAATTCATCACGCGTTAATCCTCGATTCATACGTACCCCCAAATGATTTACAGTTTGTTGTTTACTCCCTGCAGTTAACTCAGGTCTTTTAGTGCATCAGCTTTCCAGACCAACCTCCCCAGAGTGTTCGGACAACTTCTGTCTCAACTACAGCAGATCTCCAATCCCTCCATCTCTGTCAGTGTGAGTGCTCTGGACTTGGGAGTTCCTTTTTGCCCAACAAACAATGACCCACTGAATAAGTAATATTTTTGCATGCCTTTCAGTGTCACAGAGCAGTGAAAAGTGGCAAAGACTGGGAATCCCTCTTTAACTACTGCCCCCCAGAACAGCAAGTAGAGCCACTGTTCAAGTTACTGCCTGTGAGATAAATTCTGACTCTCTGTGCCAGGGCACAACAAAACTCAGAGGCAAGCAGGGCAAGTCCATATTGCCAATATGCCATTTCTCTTGCAGGTGAGTTCTTCCAAGTAACAAATACAAGCCTCTAAATTCAGTGCAGCGATTAGCATCCTTTTCAAAGCACAAGTGCTATTAAATGAAAAGTCAATTAAAGGATTGTTTTTAATGAATGGCTCCAATATAGCATCTTGTGTGTGTAAATATATGTATTTTCAGGAATCCTACATTTCACTCAAGTAAAACATGGATAAAAGGTGACAGATTTTCTGGATAAGACCATTTATTTTAACAAATAGATGAGTCTTTACGATGAACTGGAGGCTGCAACAGCTGCTCTCTTGGGCTTCGGTGTGGTTCCCTCACGGAATCCATTCCTGCAAGTAGAAATATGGTTACCACTTTCTGAGAGGATGATTCTTGCTCTGGGTTATTTTCTAACAAGTAATGTTTTTAGATCAAGTTCAGCAGCTTTTTTCAGCTTATCTCAGTAACGAACTGAAATCACTATGAAGGTCATATTAAGAAACTTCTTACTACCAACTGTTTGGAATAACAAGTATGGTTTTCACTCTCTTCTGGTGAAGTAAACTTGACTTCACCAAACAAGAAGATTTAACTGAGTGAACACTGCAAGAGTGCATCAAACATAGCACACCTTCATGTTCCTACTAAGCAACTCAGCAAAAAATGTCATGTTTGTGAAGTGCAAGTTAACTTCTTACAGAAATCCTCTATGCCTCCAACTGGAGATTAGGACAGGTATGACAACTGAAGAGTCAACCCCAAGCTTGCTTTTGGATATGACGTTTCTACTTCAGCAACACTCGCTGGAAAGCAGGCTACAGCGGCACACTGTGAGGTATTTTCTGGCTGCTCTGCTGGGAAAGACTGCGCTCACCAAAACAAACAGATGAATGTATCCTACAACCACACCCAGGCCTGGGACTTAAAACACTCCTACCTTTCACTATTAAATCCAAACGGTATTTTTACATCATGACTCTTGAATTACTTGGTATATTTCATCCAGCTTTCTTTTGTATTAGGCCAGAAGCTACAGAGCTCAATTTCAGAACATGGAGGTCATACAAAATAAATTCTTCATGAGTTTAACAGTACAGTATGCCCACCATTACCTTGTAAGCACAACTCAAAGTTTTGTAACAAGTTTCAGAAACCTGTAAGTCAGAATCTGATGTTAGTTATAGCTACTTACTGCTAACTGAACTCCAGGTAAGAGAGTGACTACTGAAGTTATTCCAGTTCTGGACTTTTTTTTGTGGGCAAAAGCAGATTGGAATGCATTTCAAGACTTGTCTCTTAAAAAAACCCCACAGTTCAGTGGAACTGGCAATTCAACTGACTCACAGAGGTAATACTACACAAAGTGCATCTCTTTAAATGTGGGTATTTTATCTACACTTAATAGAAACATCAGAGCTTGTTATACACCCTATGTATTAACAGTGAGTGGAGTTTTTTTATCCTCAAAGGACTATGCAGCCAACTATATAAAGTATCATTTATTTCATTATATATTTAAGAGGTATCATACCACATTAAGTGAATTAAATAAATAAAAATGTTACCTTTGAGTGATTAATTTTATACCTAAGTGATATCTATGCAGGATTTCACACCACACTAGCTTGTAATAAAATGTTATACCTGAATCGACGGTAGACCTTTTTCAGGTGCCTCATGCGACCAGTACCAGTGGTGTTGCGTCTTTTAGCCTTTGCACTCCAGTTATCTAAAACATACAAGCTACTGTTACACACCTGCACCAAACAATTAATGTGCACACTACGTTTATATAGCCCCATTACTGAATCTGACAGAAGCAAAAAAGTAATTATAAATGAGGTCAATTTCTATGTAATCACTTTGCACGTTAGCTAAAATACAGTTAAATCAGCACTGATTTGAAGAAGTTCTAAACACCATGAAATGATACAGTATTCCTACTTGGATGGAAAAAAGCACTGAAGAAGACAGAGAAACACAAGTTTTCAGCTTAAATCAATCAGTTAAAAGTTTGTTACTTACACTTTCTCTTACGCTTAGCTGGGTAACCACATTTCCCACAGGTGGACTTCTGCAGATGGTATGCCTTGGACCCACATCGACGACACAAGGTGTGTGTCTTATTTCGGCGCTTACCAAATGACGATGTACCCTTCGTCTGAAAAAGATTTCAAGACATGGCATGTTGGAAATACTGCTAAAACTTGCAAGTCACCTAACTAAAAGATGAACACGCTCCTCTGAAAATGCACAAACTCCAATAAACACTTAAGAGGCACACTGAACTCTGAAACATCAGCTCAGTTTCGCTCACAGGTATCCTCCATTTTTTAAACGAATTTCCTTACGCTTCTCGTCGCCATTTCCCACCTCCCGCCCTGTGCTGAAAGAATTTGAAGCCACCGAGTGCTTATCTCCAGCTCCCTCTCATCCCCGCTGAACTCATGGCTGATAAATACCGAACCGCTCACTCCTGAAGAGAGGTCACTTGCTGCATGGAGACCAGCGGGGCACTCACCACAAGAGGCTTTGGCGATCGAACCCCCTCTCGCTACGCTATCCGCACGCTGCCCCATCCCCG